ACCACATGATTCTTATATTGAAATAAGAGCAAACGATGTTTAAGTGACCCACTAGATTATAACAACAATATACTAGACAGGTTCCCGCTAAGTGCAATGCATGAACAATGCTGGTTATACCAAATCATTTTTGCTCGGAGTCCTGCAGGGCAGGAGGAGAATTTCCTCAAGCTGTCTAAGAGCTGTCTAAAGTTTTACTCATCTATGTATGGGAAATAGCTTTGTACAGAGTAATAGTGAGAGAGGGGAGATAAGCAGATCAAATAATCCATGTTATGTTGATTCCAATAAAGGAGAGATAGATAATGAATGGGAGGTTTTAATAGACAGCTAGGGTAGAACAAAGAAGGAAAAGTAGGTATGTTTCCAACATAAAATGGCAAATTTTACATTTATGGAAAGTGGTTTCCTGTTCTGCTACTGTATGGGATAAGGTTTGCAGCCATCAAAGTATGTAATTATGTATAGAAAAACAACTGATATCTAAAGCAAGGGTATTGCTCTAATACACAACTTACCCTTCGCCTTGCAATTTACTTATTAATTCATCTTTTATATACAACTTTACATAAGCTACAAAACCGTATATTATTATTTTGTGACCTAACAAACTAAAATTTAAGGATGTAAATGCAGTATTCTGGTTTCAGGTTTGGTGACTTTGACATGTTTCCAAATTACAAAATGTATGATTTGTTAAACCCTTTTCAATTGGTCAAAACAATGTGTTATAAATTGTTTAACATGTTTTGAACTTGGAAATTCAGAATGTATTTTAATAATGTTATAAATAATTATAAGCATAAATACTACAGAATTTATGGAATATTTTTAATACACACATGAACATACACACACAGAAACACAAAAACACATTAAATTAAAATGAACAGACATGTTTATCTCTTTAACACAAATAGCTAACACAATAATGTATATAAACAGACTTGACAACCTTTTAAGATACAGATTAAGTATAATTATAAATTCAAAATTGCATTTTAATTTATAAAATCTAAGTAGAAATGACAGGGAGACTGATAGTCTGCATTCACTCCACTGAGAACTAAGGCACAGATGTGTAAGAAGAATGTACAGAGCGCACTATGACAACTAGGACCTAGAAATCTCATGAAATGAGTTGTTATATCTGACTGCAAGCTATGTGATTTAGATGAATAAAAATATTTTATAATGTGTTCACCAACCATCCAAATAGGGTTTGCCTTGGGGACATGGGGGGCATGGACAGAAAGCAGAGGCAAAGTAAGACTATTGGGTGCTAGTAGTGTTGACTTCAATATTCTACAAAATTGTTTCAAGAAACTTGCTAATCATTCACATGGGGCTATTTCAAAATCTGTGAATTTACAGAAAAGTACTTCCGTAGGTAGAACTCTAATACATTCGAAGCTTAAATCATAGAACTCCTATAAGAATGGGAATTCGTGTATCAGAAAATTCTTGACGAAAAGATGCCGAGAAAAATATGGATACCTGAAAAACCTATAAATTGTATTATGAAAAGTTGAATAAAATAAATGGAAAGTATACATTGCTTTATTTGTAACTGAGATTGATTCTGATGCTTAGCAAATGTGTTTCTTTACCTATTGTTACTGGTAGCATAATGAATAGTAATAATTAAAAGAATTGACTTTAACATGTGCACTTCTAATACAAATATGTGTGTGTGTGTGTGTGTGTGTGTGTGTGTGTGTGTCATAGGAGACTAAGAATTCTTCTAAAATCTTTCTCATTTTAAGCAAACTATTTCCCTTGAGTTTACGTATGATTTAATACAAAAGAAATAAACAATAACAAATATTGATACCTTTATTTAACCATTGGCATTGATAAATTCTAAATCAATCTGTTCTTGTTGGGAAATTACTTGTTACTTAAATTTTAGTTGCAGTTTGATTGCAATATACTGTTTCTCTATGGACTAAAAATTCTTCAAAAGCTCTCTGAAATATTCTAATCAATGAGGTGGACTTTAGGTATATGTAAGCTAAACTGTTTAGGAGGCAGAGGTTTGCATCATCAACTTGCGGTATATATTGATGAATTGAATTTGACTCTTTGAGAACAGAGGTAGAAATAGTGATTAAAGGGGGAGCAGCTTACAAAAAAATATAAGCTTTTTTTTAGAGGAAAATAATCATATTTTCCTTATCCTTGTTAGAGAAAATTTCGGATGAATACTACCAGACCCTTTTCCTGCATTAAAGGATGAATGTCTTCAGTAAAAGAATTGGTGGAGGTGAATATATCATTTTTAGTTGTCAGAGAATAATCCTATATTCACATTATTTCTATGTGACTGGGAATTCATCAGAGCATGATTTATAGAAACTTCTTAAGAACAGAGGCCTTGAATTTAGCCCTTGCCTTTGATAAATACTACTTAAGAACAGATTCAATAAGAATTTCTTTGAGTAAATGGGCAAATTAGTGCGTTAATGAACAATTGTTCTCAGATAAAACTGACTAGCTTATTAAGATGATGAAACCATTTAGAACGGAGGAACAAAGACTTTTTCTGCACTGAGTGGCACTCCCATGCATGAGCCTGTTTCTTCAAGGATCATTAAAAAAAGATACAGTCTTTCCTTTCATCATTCCGGGAAACTGTCCTAGTATCCACATACTCCAGGTGAGGAGACACACAGAGCTGAGAGAAATGGGGAAGATAAAGCTAGAGTCCTGGACTTGACTCCCTCCCAAGAGTTTAATCCACTCCCCCACATTCCAATTTACAGTAAAATGAAATTGGCACATTAACCTGAAAGGAAAAAGAAAGAAAGAAAAGTGACCAAATTATTCAGTAAATTCAGACATAATAATTAAATAATACTGAATTTATTCATATCTGAAAGAAGTTTGGCTGTGGAATAGCAAAATTAGCTTCTTCTTCTTCTTCTTCTTCTTAGTGCAAAAAAAAAAGGGCAGAGAAATCTTAAAATCCTAGGGAGTTCAATTAACATAGTGAACAGGCTGTGCTAATAGTGAAGTGGCTTTCCAAAGCCCTGATGAGCAGACATAAGATGGCATTCCCATTCTTCCTGCCTCATCAGAGCACCTCTTGCTTGCTCCAGGAACTCTCCAGATTGTGGAGCCTTTAAGTACAATCAGCAAGTGTTGGATCAGAATGTGTGAGTGATGCAGACATTGGAGCCAAGCAGAAACTTTCTATTTCATTTGAGAAATTCCTAGTCCTATGTCATTAAGAAGACTTGGAAAGTATCACTTCTGTCTTTGACATAGTGACCTGCATTACAAGTGGTCTCAAAGCAAATTCTCCCATGAGACAAGTTAAAAAAAAAAAAAACAGATGGAAAACACAGGGGAGGGATGCCATGGAATAAGATAAATGACACTAAACACTGGAAGACCCTCTGAAGTATAATAAACGAAAAATGTCAGTTGTGTCTAAGGGCTCAGAGAGTGTAAAATGAGAAACAAGAAGGGATAAATAGATACAGGACATAAAACATCCACAAATTATTAATGGTCCAGATCAGCTCTGGGCATCTTCCTTAAAGCTTATGGCATTTTTCTTAGATGTCATGTTTATAAATTTTATAAATATACATATTACAAATATATTTGAACCATCATGTACTTGGAGTGTTGTGTGCTGGGTTGCTCTTCTAGACATAAAGTGTAATTAATAAATATCTAACAAAATGTCTTGTGCTATTTTGGTTTAGCACAAATATATGGTTTAGCCAAAGTAACACATTAAAAGCCTTTTAAAAAGGATTTAATTCAGTAATTTAAAGACTATCTACTAGTGCTTTCTCAAACTTTTGTTCAGCATATCAGAGCAGTTTGAACATACTTACCCATCTTCCATGACGGTGATGTAAAATAAACCAGTTTTAAGTGTCAAAGCACCTTGTACATCTTCCCATTTTTTTAAATCACATTTGCAACTTTCGGGTACTTCCTTTAAAAAGCTTCTTGTGAATCTATTCATAAAGATTTGTCAAGCTTATCTAATTTAACTGTCTGAAGTTATCACTATACTGTTATTAGTGTATATATTTCCAACTAATGCTGATGCTATAAGCAATTTTTGTAAGTCGTTCAATCAAATCCCTGCTTATTCCATATAAATTAAAAGTAAAAAGGTACCTTTGGCTTGACAACTCTACTGCCTTTGACAAGACAGACTAGCAGGCCATCCAAAAGGAATGCACAACCAACTTTATCAGCAGAAAACAAGTTTAGATACACAGAAATCCATTCCACAAGAGAAGTACTTGAGTAACTCTTATTATGTAGACAAGTACCTCCAGAATGCTGTGAGGTAAATGATGAAACTGGAGAAATTGGTGTATTGCAGTCTAATGAACTTCAAGGGTTCTACAATTTTTTAAAATGATATTATTGGGGCTGGGGGAATCGCTCAGTCATTAAGAGAGCACACTTGCAGAGGATCCAGGTTAGTTTCCCCAAACCCATTTTAGGTACTCACAAACATTAATACCTCCTGCTCTAGGTCTGGTGCATCTGGGCTCACCTCTGCTATCAACAGGCACCTGTACTCATGTGCACATTCCCACATCAGGCACACACACACATGCATTTAATTTAAAAGTAAAAATTAAAGATATCATCAAGACATGGTAAGTACCAGAAATCTTTTCATAGGAATATTGGTAGTAATTCTCTTATTCTCAATGTACTACCACAGTCCATCAAAATATCCACAGTATTTATAGATTTTAAATGTAAAATTACTGTGTTTTAAGCAGATTCACCTGTATGTTCATATGTTAAATACTTGATACATGTATATAAAGAAATTTTACAAAAGTATGTGCAAGTTTGGAGAGCTATAATGTTGGGTTAACTTTAAAGTTCATGTTAATAGGATTGGGTTCAAATGACCAGCTTTGTGAAGAAATTAAAATGGGAAGAATTTTTCTTTAAGTCAAAAAATAAATGGACAGTTTTTAAAAATCAAACCATAAAAAATTTAAAGCAAGTTACTTTCCTACTTTTTAATGTGAGTACCATAGCAGATGATATGACGGCACAGTAGGATGGTTGATGACCACAATGAATGTTATTTTACCAATGGAGCATATTACAAAGTAAGTCATTTAATCATTAGCCACGTTTCTATATATGCCCAAAGCACATAATGACTATGGGTGTGGAATATCAGAATTACTAATCATCTTAATTTAAATTTAAAAAGACATTCTTACTTGGTTCTATTCATACCTAGCTGACAAACTGAGCAGAGATGCCCCCCTTCGCTAGAAGCATCTGGATTTATTTGGGGATAATATAAGATACACTTTTTGGTTTCTCATTATGATTGATGAACTATTAAGTAAAAACCAAAAAAAAAAAGATCTTGGCTTTTTATAAGAACATATTTTATGTATGACTGAAGTTTTCACAACACTCTGAAAAAGCCATCAGATGTTAGATTTAAAAATAAAATTAAAAGCATTTTGTGACATAGTACACATGAAAAATTGGAAATCCCAGTATCTTCAATAGAAGTTGTAGAAAGTGTATGTCTCCTTGGAGTATGACACCCACTTAACACAGCAGAGAATAAGATACTATACTGTAAACAAAAAGTACAGTAAAGGACAGTTGTAAATTTACATAAGAATAGTTCATAAACATTTTGGTCTTTTCATAACAGTTTATATAAAATGAATAAAAAAAACCTTTAGACAGCTGTCATCACTCTTATTTGAGCGCTTATCACTTATATGCACACAGACACATCTATACAGCAATATACTGATGCACTGTTACATGGATATTGAACTAGGTTTTACTGTCTATAACTGAGCTCTGGTTAGCCAATCAACATTATCCACACTTGAGATACTCATACATTATGTATTCTTGTCATGTCATATCTATAAAAACATGAAAATATAACTTTACATTATTTCAATTATTTACATTAGTTCAAGCTTGACAGAGAAAACTGATAAGCTCAATTTTTGGAAGAGTAGGCCCAGAGGTCCAATAAACAGCACTGATTGTATATAGTCATCTCTTTTATAATTTTTTTAAAACTCATTTTAAGTACAATATGGAAATAATTAGGCTGCAATTTGGTCATCCTAGCATTTATTACTAAAACTTAAAATGTACCTCCAATATCCCTGATGAGTAATGCACTAAAATTATTTTGTATGATCTTGGAATTTGTAGAGGGATGGCAAAATTTAGTGAAGATTGCCATGAAACTGCATGCTACTATGTAGGATGCAGGTGGCTACTGTTAAATCTTACATTTTCCATTCTTTTCTTTAAAAATAACCAGTAGGATGCTCTACAAAGCACTTGGTCAGACACCAAATATTACATAGAAATTTTATGAGGAAAAAAATAACAATTATAAATCTTAAAGGTAACTACTGGGTGTCAGTTGCTTTTAACCCTAAAGTAAATTTATTTGGAGGTCATTAGTGGAAATAAAAAAGCGTTTTAATGAGGGATCGATAGATGAATTAAACTTATCAACTAGAGTAATATAATCTCTTAGAAAGTTACAGAGATGGGACAGTATCCACATTAGACATATTAAAGTGCCCATTCTACCTGAGGCATGAATTAAAAATAATATATTATGGTTTATTTTATAGATTGGAATGGAGAGAAAGAAACAATATTGTAGGTGACTAAAGTATTCAAACACTGATGTTAGTTCTTATAATTTTAAAACTAAAAATGTATCACTAGATTATAGAATTTGGCCAGTGTGCAGGTATCTGAACAGCTACCCTCATGGCATTTATAGTTACTACTACTCCTCTGGAAGCTTAAACAAATCTGGAGTGGAAATTCACATGTTCTGATATTTCTTTATAAATTTGGTTTTTAAATCTATAAGCATTTATCTATATAGACTAAATGCTTTTTAATCAACAGATATTTTATTACATATAGTATAATGTACAGAAAAAAATAGTTTTAGATATACTATTTAGGGGAAATTCCTACCTGAAAAAAGAAAGAAATTTTCCTTCCTTTTACATGAGGATCTTTTCTTTGGGATCCTAAAGACTACATATTAGCGTCTTTAAACTCACTGGATTTATGACCAAACTGTAGCTAAGCAAAATTAATTCGACCACTTGCAAATAAAACAATAGAAAAATGTTTATTTCAAATGTCAAGCATTGCCAAGTAGTTTCATATTAACACCAAATGTTAAAGAATAGGATACATTAAAGTTTTAATAACAATATTAAATTACAGGACTGGAGTCTCATCTCTTTCCTTCCTCAGCATTTACATATTTGGCTTTGAAAAATATGGAACTAATACCATGGACCTTTTTTTCCATCACTTCCCACTCAGTTTGACTTTTTTTTTTGTCATATCCAACCAGTATGGAAGCAAATTTATTTAAAAGCCAGTTTGTCTGTGAAAATACCTAAAAATATTTTTTTTATTTTAAATGTTTTTTTTTCTTTTTTTATATAAAACAGGTCACATCTTGATGCA